GCGAGGACACCTGCTGGAGCTTCGAGTTCCACATGAAGCCGAAGCTCACGGTGCGGTGTGTCAGCTGCTTGTAGACGTGCGCGATGAGCGGCAGACGCGACTCCACGCGCTTGCGATCACGCGAGTCGAGGAACACCTTCATCACCTTGCTGCCGTCCGTGCGGCAGCGCCAGCGGCGGCCCACGACGTCGCACGGGTAGAGCAGGTCATTGAGGATGTTCTCGAACACCGCCACGCTCGTGCGGGAGCGCTGCACCTTCTGCAGCTTGTACACGTCATTCGGGCGCTTCGTGATCTTGCGCTGCGCCACAAGCGCCACGACGCTGCCGGGGAAGCGCTTCTCCAGCTCCGCCGTCAGCGTGCGCTGGATCTTGCGCACCAGCATCAGAAACCGCAGCGGGTAGAGAACCACCATCGCCGTCTTGCGGAAGCGCGGGCTCGTCAGGGTGCGGACGGTGTTGATGTGGAAGCGCGGCAGCTGCGTGCGGAGGGTCTTGTGGGTCGCCTCCAGCTCGAACAGGGCCTTGGCGACGCTGTCCTCATCCGGCGAGGGGTTGGCCCGCTTGAGCTTGCGGAGCTTGCGCAGGTGTGGCTGAACAGACATACCGTCCTCGTGAAGAAGTACCTTTTCGCGGCCAGCGCACGGGGAGCAGAGAGAAACGAGGCAAAAACCGGGGAAAAAGTGCGTGCGTGCGTGCGTGCGTGTGCGCAGGGGAGAGCGGGGGCGGGGGAGGTGGCAACTTCCCTGCGGCCTCGCACGCCGCAGCCTCAGCGAGGGAGGGCGTCCCAAAGTGCCGGGAGAAGAGAAGCAGCAGAGAAAAGACCCTTCAGCAAGCAGGAAAAAAAAAGAGGAGAAAGTCAACGCCGCCCTCCCCTCAGAAACTATTTGAAGGGAAAAAAGGGAAGAAATAATAATAACAATAATAATAGGCGTCGCCGGCGCGCGGATTGCGGGGCAACGGAGGCCGCGTTCTGTCGCCACCGCCCACCCCTCCCACGGCGCCCACACCCGCATCCGGCTCCGTGTGAAAAAAGAAAAAAGAATTGATTCCCACATAATAAAGGAGAGGAGGCACGCAAAGAAGCAGCTATATCTTCATGTACGTGTTCCTGTTTACAGCAACTTGTGAAGACGGCAGTAGGCGTAGCGGTGAAGCGGATCCACGTATGGCAGCTGCAGCGCGGTGAAGATGTCCTTCTCTCCGCGCAGCTCAAGCCGCGTGCGTGCGCCAGGCGAGCGCCGATACAGCCCGTCCTGCGTCAGCTCGCACTCTCGCGCGTCCGCCACGAGCATGAGATGCGTCAGGAACGGTTTGGGGCCGGTGAGAAAGAGGCGCCGCGCGTGAAAGCTGCGCGAGGGCGCCCACATGAACGCTAACTCCTGCTCCTCCTCCTCCTGCCCGGCGCGGGGCGGGAGCTGCGGCCCGTACTCCCGTGGCACACGCGCAAGGCACACGCAGCGCCGGGAAGCCCCTCCGCACGCCCACGTATTTCTCCCGGCGACGCCCCGGACGTAGCCGCTGGTCGCCAGGCCCCTCATGGCACGCTCAAACAAAATCGCCTCGCTCGCGTCGGGGTCGCCGCGGCTGGGCAGGAGCTCGCCACAGCCGCCCTGGGCGTCATGTGTGAGCAGAAACGTTGCCCGTCTGCCGACAGGGCAGCCGCGCCGCATCGCCCCAATCAGTGCCACACGGAAGCCGTGCGGCCCCAGCAGCCGCTCCACGGCGAGCTGGTGCTCCACCGCGTCGTCGTAGCAGACGGGTATTTTTTGGCCGGCGCAGAAGGAGTGGTCGCCGCCTCTCTGCTCGACAAGACGCTCAAACACAACCTGGCGAGCCGCCGCGTTGTGCCATGGCGATTTTGCAGAAACACCTCGTTGTGGGTGATGCCGGGCGAAGAACTCCGCACACGCGCCCGGAAGTTGTGCGATGTGTTGTGCCAATGTTACGTAATCCTGCCGCTCACGCGACGGGAAGTCACGGCGCCCCAGTGCGGCATGCAGCATCAACTCCTGCACCACCAGATGGTTGGAGCCGTGCAGCGCGCACAGCCGTGAAGGAGGCGGCATCGCCGATGCCCCACGACCTCTGCTTTTGTGTGTGTGTGTTTGTTTATTTGTTTATTTGTTTATTTGTGCCCGCCTCTCCTCGTCGTCGCGCGGGGCCCCTCGCCAAGGCTGGCGGGAGCTGCGTTGCCCACCCTTCAGCAAGGCGGCATACAGATAGAAAGAGGGAAAGGAAGAAATACGAGAGATGGTAGCAAGGGCCGCAGTGCACATACAAACACGCACGCACGCACGGGCCCATGATCGCCGGCGGCAGCGAAGATGCACGGCCTCGCCCACGAGAGAAAAGTAGCAGTCGGGCAGCTAAAATGTACATACACACTCTTCTTTACATGCTTCTGTCGCCCCAGGGCCGGCGCCACCGAGTCCCTCCCCAAAGCCCCAGAAACCGGACTGGCACGTGGCAGCACGGGCGCACAGTAAAGGGGAGGCGCAAACCCTGACGCGGTGGGGTGAAGCAGGCAATAGAAAAGCACACGAAATCAAGCAAGGAAAAAGGGGCATGAGAACCAAACCGTCAACCCCCAACGCCGCTAGCTGCCGCACCTTCGCTCCTCTCAGTCCGTGGAGGAGAACGCCCTCTTGCTCGTATTGGCAGAAGTCGGGCATAATCGCCATAAATGAGACGGCCACTGACAAGCTCAGAAATGATGCGGCGAAACTCTTTGCAGAGCGCATCCTTTTCACACTGCGCCAACGGCGGTGCCGGCAACTCCATCTCTTCCAGCAGTGACTTTAACTTGGCCCAGCTATTTTCAAGAAGAGAGAACTCCCGCTGCAGCTGGTGCAGGTCCTTCACCACGAGGTCCTTTTCGTAGGCCAAGAGGTAACGCAGCTGCATAGAGGCGTCGCACTTGGCAGCTATGGTGTCATAGTGGCCTTCGTAGAGGTGCGAGAGATCGTGCAGGCAACGCGACCAGCACAACGCGTTCTCTGTGGCGTAGCCAAGCATGCGGCATCGACGGTAGTGCTCCTCCGTCCGCAGCCGCCCAATGTGCTGCCGGCACTGCGTCACAAGTTCCGCGCGCAGCTCCTGCGACTGCTGTAGCGAGGCGTTTACCCACTGCAACTTTTGCTCAGACTCAGAGGTGGGCAATCGCTCGTCTAGCAACGCCTCAAGCTCACTGTGGCTGTGGTCCAACTGCCGAAGCGACAGCGTCTCCGCAATGACCTCCTGCATGAGACGCTCATACTTGAGCTGCTCCATGTACCACTCCTTTGTCGTCTCCCGGATGCGGCGGGCAAGCTTCTCCTGCGTCTCCTCGCTTTTTTTCGCCTGATACAGTTTCGCCTGCAAGGAGGACTGCAAACGATCATGATCTCGTTGATATTCGTCGCAAATCTCCGCCCTGGCGGCCTTGGTGCGCTCAATGGCCCCCTGCAACTTCTCCATGTACGCGCGGACGTCCCGCTCGAGGCTGCTCAGCACCCGAAGCGAATCACGGTCGCACTCCTGCAGCCCCTTCTCCATCTCACCCAATTGCTGGGTAGTGTCCTCGGCGATGCTCTGTAGGGCGTCGCTGCAGTCCGTGTGCAGAACCTTCCTCTCCCTCAACTCGCTGAGAAGCGTGCTGTACACCGCCTCCGTCGCCGTGTCGTGTGTGGATGGCGCAGCACCCCCTTGGTCTCCCATCTCGCGCAATTTCTCCCGCGCCTCCTTAAACTTCACGGCGGCGGGTTTGTAGACATCAGCGAATGCACGTTCGCGGCCCTCGCCCTTAGAACCCTCTGCAAGGTAGCGCATGATGAAGGAGGAGATGTGCAGAAAGGAGCGATGGAGCGGCATGTGAAAGTAGCCCTGTTCGATCAACGCCTCGATCTCAGGAAACCCCTTCGACTGCACGCGCTGGACGGCGGCAAGCAGGAGCGTCAGCGTCTTGGGGAGCTCTTGCCGTCGCTGAAGCATGGGCGCGAAGAGACGGCGCAGGCAGTGGGGCGACTTGGAGGGGTCAAGCAGATCCCGCTCCGTCTTTCCCCACGCTTTTGCCCTGCGCTTCCCCGGCGCCACAGGCTCCCTAGTTGCCTCGTTGGAGAGGCCACCTCCGTCGGGAGCGGCGGCCCCTTCATTCCCCTCGACGACCTTCTGCTCGCACAGCCCAAACTCCTCCGGCGTGGGGAAGTTGAAGCGCGCCGCGGCCACCTCGGGGGTCCAAAACTTGTACGCGTCGAGCCCGGCTAGGCTTCGCGGCAGCTCGTCCTCGATGGCGCGACGCCGCTGCTTGTTTCGTGCCATGACGTCCTCTACCCGACTCCAGGCGGCCTCTAGCTGCCCCTCCAGCGTCGCGGAGCTGGCCAGCTCCGCGTCCGTGCAGCGCCGCAGCAGCGCCGCGGTTTCCGAGGGGGTAAACGACTCCTCAAGGATTTCCGCCACCACCCCCGCCACCGTCGCGCCGGCGTCCGCATTGTCGCTGCTACCCGCGCGCGCCGCGGGTGCGCACGACGCAGCCGTGGGAGGGAGCAGCTGCTGAAAGAAATACACGCCGGCGCGCGTGGGCTGCGGCGCGGTCCGCTTCTTCATCCGCGTCTGGTTCCACGCCTCCGCCGCTCCCGCTTGCCTGCGCCACTTCGCTCCCGCCTCCCGCGTTCTCCCTCCTCCGCAGTTTTCGCGGCGGACCGGTGCGGGTCCACTGCCTTCTCCTCTCTCTCTCTCTCCCTTGGCGAGGGGCGGGCGAGGCACGCAGCAAGGGAGGAAAAGGGAAAAAGAACGGCACTACAAAAGAAAGGGCGAGCCCCACCCCCGTGGAGCTGAAAAAGACCACGCAAAAGCCCCACAACGACTCCTGCCCCCCCCGCTCTGGCCTGCAGCCGCAGCGCCACAGCAGCCACAAACAAACAAACTAAAAAAACAAGAACAAAAAACCTCACATAGGCGAGCATAGGGTAAAGAAGCGAGGGAGTAAACAAAACACGGGTGGTGCAGCTCAAAGGGCATACCAAGTATCTGGATATCCCCTTCTATAATATTTATGCATCTCTTTGCGTGCGCCACTACCACCACAACCCCCCCACCTCATCCCCCACTCCACACACAGACACACACACCAGCAACAACAGGAAGGGAGAAGGTTGCTTGCCCTGTCGTCCATTCTCCGCACTAGTATTACTTTCAATCTCCCCTACTAATGTATAGGAGGGGCACATGCGTGGACAGATGTACTGTCAGGCAGCGAAAGACTGGTTGGGCTGCGAGGAAGGCGCAAACATCGATAACTACCTCTCTCTCTCACACACACACTGCGATGCCGTCCGTCTCATGTCTCCGCTCTACTGAGGGAACACCTCCAGCGCGGCGGTGTCGGTGACCCACAGCAAGCCACCCGGATAGGCGGCGTCGCACAGCAGTGTCGACCAGACAAAGGGGCCAAAGAAGTCGTAGCTGTGCGTGGACTCCTCGTAGACGTAGAGAATCTCTCGCGGTCTCCACGGTGCACTCCCAGACGACCTGCCGGGCGGCGCCGCGTGGGAAGCGTCCTGCAGGAGTGACACAGACCCCGTGTGCTCGCGCGTCGCACGCCGAATGACACCCAAGATGTCTTGGTACGACTCCGCCGAGGTGACGCTTGCAAGTTCCGTTTCATAATGGTCCGCGATGCGCAGCAGCGGCAGCAACGCCTTGTACGCAGCCGCAATATGTGGGCACTGGCTGTCTGCCGCCAACCCCGCCTCTAGCTTTGAGCGACTGTACAACAGCTCATACACGAGCGTGTCATTCATCCTATCCTCGCCTTGAATTATTGCCTCCACAGCCTCGACCAAGGACGTCAACTGACGGAGAAACATTTGCGCCGTGGCATCCTCCTTGCTCTCCACCGTGCTGCCTTTGGAAGTGCTGTTTGCGGTGCAACTCATCTCATTCTCGTCTTGCCGGGTCGACTCCGCGCAGCGTCGCAGTTTTCTAAGTATCAAAATGAGCAGTCTTATCAGCTGCTGGGAGGCGCAGGCCTCTATGTCGTGAATGAAAGGTGCTAAATTCGATAAACTAGGAACGAACACGGCTGCCAACGGCTCATTCCGGTCGTTCATGGCCTTGGCAACACCGTGGGCAAGAACCACAACACACAGGGAACTAATCGGCATCCTGCCGCCGCAGCGTCCCGCCCTGAAACGAGGCTCAATAACTGTGTCGCTCATATTCTGGTTAAGCACCTGGTCCTGGGAGAAGAGCAGCACCAGCGTGCTGGTCATGAAACCAATAAAGGGGTAGGAAAATTGTATCATATCCTTCATCAGCTGCGCAATCGACTCCGGTGTCAATTCCTCTCTGGAAATGGGGACCTGACAGGTTTCAGCGGCAGCATTGGTCCGAGTCGTTGCCGCGGCACTTCGCACACTAGCCGCGCCCCCCTCCCCGGCCTCGACAGACGCAATGTAGCTCAGATGCAGGACTTCTTGTACGAGATCCAAAACCTCCCGCGCGTAGAGCGTCAAGGCGGTGTGCAAGAAGGTCGGATGGTCGTAGAGGAGAACGTACAAGACAATACACAGCGACGGGCACACCTGTAGCCGGCTAACCATGGCGGACAAAAGCGCGCCAAACGGCACGGGTGTACCATCTTCGATTTTCTTCACACACTCCAAGGCTGGATTTTCCCCGTTCCCTTTTAGGTGCGCCAAAAGCACGGACAGCAGTTGGGCGCAGTGTCGTCCCAAGCTCTCACCGCAGCTGATGAACCTATCGCCCTTTCCGCCGCCAAAGACGTTGTACATGTTTCGCAGCGATGGACGATGGCCGTCACGGTACAAAAAGGGAGAGGATGAAAGACGCCCGGCGCCCCACTCCACCAATCGCCTCAGGAGAGTGAAGATAAATGGCGCCAGCCCCTCCGAGGACATCATAATCTCTACAAAGACGTCGATGTGAGTCCCGTCAAAGCTGGTGCTGTGGTAGAGCGCGGAGGAGGTCATGGACAAGAGGAGGCTCACCACCTCGTTGTGGGCCTCCGCCGTCGCGCAGGTCACCGGCACGGAGACGCAGTACTCCATCAGCGCGCAGCAGACCTTGTGTGCCTCCGTTGCGGCCCACTTCACGGTCGTGGGACTCTTCGCGTCAGCCGCGCCCTCCCCAGTCACAATCTCCAAGAGCAGCGCGGCGTCCCCGCGGGAGACCTGGTGGGCGTAGCGAACGACGAACTCCATGATGTGCAGCGTGGCCAGGAACGCCTCACTTTGGCCCTGGTTGTAGTTGCACGAGGCATGCTCAAGTTGCTGCAGGCAAAAGCGAAAAAGCCACCGCACCCGTTGCGTCTTCACACCCGGTGGCACGAACTCCCGCAGAACCGGCAAGGCTGCCCCATAGTATTCCGCGCCCGAGCATATGTCCTTCTTGTAGCGGCCCAGACGCTCGCTGAACTCCTTTTCGTCCGGGTCCGCCCCGGCGCACGCCACCCCGGTGAAGTACCGCACAGCCTCCTCCCTTGTCTGAGCCCCACCCATTTACATGCAGGCGCACTCCGAGGGAAGGCAAGAGCGACAAAAAAAAAACAGCACTTTTATAATCGGTGAGAAAAAAACGACGGTGCGGCGAGTGTGCCGTGCACGTCCCTCCCTCCCCCCCGCCAGGTGCAAGCGCAAGTCTATGCGTTGGCTGTAACTGAGGGCCACAGTTCTTCTTCGTTTTTCCTCTACCACTCGCAGGGATCTCCGCGCAAGAGACACACAGACGCACACCCACCCACAGCATTCAAGCAAAAAACGAAAGAATAAAAAAGAAAAAAAAGAAATAGGGCGCAGAATGGGGGACGAAGCAGAAGCAAAACACAAACTCACAGTCACAAGACAGCAGAAGCAGAGCGAAGCCCTCCAAGTCATTCTCCCTCGTCAATACTTTTTTTAAAAAAAGGGAACCACAACTAGTTCCGTGTGCGCATTGCTGTAGGAAGTTAGGGCGCAAAAGCACCTCGCCACACACACACCCACAGAACTGGAAACAGCCCAATTCACACAGTCGGAGGCCGTCCGTTCGCTTCGGACTCCACGCCCTCGTTCTCGTCTTTTTTCCCCGTTCTTTTTTTTCTTTTGCCTTGACTTCCTCTCGTCCCCCACTGTTGCGGAAGTCACGCATCCGCCCGCCCCCCCCCCCAAACCCACCGCCTTCAGCGAAACAAGGTGTCATCGCCCCTGAATAGAACTCCTCGTCCTCCTCTCGTTTCGCCTGCACAAGCGCGTCGATCGCGTCCAGGGGAGGTCTACTTCGTTTTCCTCTTGCGTTGCAGGAGCTCTTGCCTGCGGCGCTCTGCCCGGTTCCGCGGCATCGCGGCACCCTCGGCGTTCTCCTCGGTGGGGCCCTGTCGGCGCCGCAGCAGTGGGCCGATGAGGCTCCAGCCCTTGTACATGGCCATCGCGGGCACGGGCAGATACAAGAGAAAAAAGGCCCAGTGAAAGAGACAACAGAGGAGCCCCACAACCCAGCACACCCAGAGCAAGTCCTGCGCAAAAGAGTACACGCCCAGCTCACTGGGGTTAGAAGCGTCCGGGCAGTCCAGCAGCTCGCCGGTCGAGCTGTAACTAGGCCGCGCAAACTGCTTCAGGAGTGCGAGCGCCACGAACTCCTGTCCTGCCCAGAAGCCTAAACCAACAACCTCACGAAGGCACGGAAGTGAACCGCGGTGGTACACTAAGTAAGCAAGAGAAAGCACATTTACAGCCCATGTGCATACCGTAAAGGTGCGCATGCGTGCCTCGTTCCTCCGCATGTTTTTCTTCGCCGTGTCCTTCGCCATGATTGCAAGCGCAGGGTCTGGCCACAGCGCAGATATCGTAAGGAAGGAGAGACCAAGCAAAATACAGGGTGAGAAAAAGAGAGGAGGGAGAGGAGAGAAAGGAAAAAAAAAAAAAGTAAACTACGTAGCATAAACAGCCGAGATGCAGAGTATATAGTTATCACCGTCACCACACCCAGAGCACGTCACACACCGCAGAATTTGCTTCCGTGGTTGGCCCTGCCCCGCCCCGCCCCGCCCCGCATGTCGCCCCCAACACTGCCGGCTACCGCGGCGTCCCATCCGGCCCCAGACTCTCACCACCGTGCATGCCGTAGCCTTTTGGACGTCGGTACTCCCCCCCAAATGGGTCCATAAAGCCGCTAAAGCAGAGGGCCGACACGATCCCGACGGAGACCAACAAAAACCAACGTTGTAAACTTTCGGCGTCCTCTACAGCTTCAGGATTCAGCTTGCGAAGTTCCTCCGGCACATGATTCGGCGACGGATTTTTGGGAAACTCGTGGTACATCGCCGCAGGGCCGTCGTCGCTGCCCTCGCGCTCCTCGCGAATCTTGTCGTAGTACCCACGCCGCGACGAGCGCACAAGCGCCGACGTTGCAGCAAGCGAGTTCCACGCGATGCATCGACGTTGCATCTCCACCCTTGGCACCTGGCGGTCACTCGTTGTCTGCCTTTCTGCTCCCCCGCAGAGTCCTATGCCCCTTTCGGGCCTGGCAACGCCAAAGGAAAGAAGGGCAAAAACATATATGTATATATGAAGCGGTGAGGGGCAATGGAAGCAGCAGCAGCAGCAGCAGCAGCAGCGCGCTGCCAGGCACAACCCACTCGAAGGAGCTCCATCACCCGCCCGCCCACCCAGTTTTTTTTTCTTTTTTTTGAGGGGGTGAGAGGAGAAGCCACTTATTTCCACGGCAGCCGCAGAGCTCTCCGGCAGAAAGGAAACCAACGTGCAAGAAAAATAAATACACGAACGATAAGAGAGTAAAACGCCCTGTATGTTTTGGCAGCTTGCCGTCTCTGCACGGACGCGCAGTGCGTGCGTGGCAAACTTCTCACGAGGCCATAAAGTAAATGACCCCCACAATGCCCAAGAGTAGGATGCAGCAAAGAACATAGACCGCCACCTTGCTCTTGTCCATCTCTCTGAGGGTCCGGCGAAGACGACCGTTCAAGGAGAGAAGATCCGCATGCACGTTGTCCAGTTTTGCTCCGGTATTGTCAAGCAGGTTCAGCTGCATGGACAGCTCCGAGTCCAGCGACACCGCATTCTCGTTCAGGCTTGTCAGGCGCGCCCCTATCCGGTCAAGTGTCACATCCATCTCGGTGTCGCGCGCCTTGGTTTGCTCAAAAAAAAAGCGAACTCCGCATCTCCGTGTGGAGACAGCAGCGGCGCCGCGGACCCTTGCGCCGCTGCGGGGCCGCCAAACGCTGTGGCACCGGACGCCGCCATCCCGCCACTTAACCCCTCCTCACCCAGTCGCCCACCGTGGCGATCACGCTGGAGCTGCTCTGTCTTGCGCATGTGCGTCATCAAGGTGGAGTAGTCCTCTAACCTGTCCTCCTTCACTGCCAGCCGCCGCAGCGGTGCGGCGTCCCTCTTCATGGCCCCGATGTCTCGACGAACGGAATTGGACACCTCTGCCTGGCGCTTGATGCCCAACGAAACTCCCTTTTCCTCCAACAGGGACAAATTGTTTCTCACCCGCTTCATGCAGCAGGCAAGGCGATATTGGCCCTTCTCGTATGGGCTCATGTGGCTGGTGTCCGCGGCGCCTACGGCCTCCCCCTCTGCCCGTGCCGATGCGGAGGAAAAGGAGGCGACGGTCCCACAGCTGCCACCACATTTTACGTTGAGGCGCTCCAGGCGGCGCAGAGCCCCACGAACGCTCGACATTAGCTGCGGAGAGCCGCAGCTCTGGCCTCCCTGCGTTTCTCCGCCTTCTTTCCCCTTCGCTTCCACCCCCTCCCCCCTTTCAGCTGCGAGAGTGTCGACGGCGACAAAATGCACTGGGCTGCCGCATCGCTTCCCAGGGCAGATGCCGAGACACGGCGGGGAGAAGATGAAAGAGAAAGATAGAAAGATAGAGAGTGAGGGGGGGGGGGAGAGAGCGCGGCAACGAGTTATTAAAGCCGAGTCAAGTACTTCCTTTTGCAATTTAAAAAAAAAAGAGAATATAAAAGACACGGAAAAACAAAAAGAAAACCAAACTTCCTTTTTTTTTTGGTTTTTTTTTGAAGACTAAATCAGTAACACGTGTGAAGATGTACTCTGAATATGTCATCTATACCCATTTGCATGCACAAAGGCCACTCACACCCCCGCACTCGCCCTCTATGTAGACTTCTATCACTGACTCCGGTTAACGCACCCACCGCCATCCGTCCCATGCTCAGGCGTCTATGCCTCACTGCCGTCTAACTTTCGCGTGAGATAGTTTGCCAGGAAGGAGAGTGGGTTTGTCGATGCCACCAAGTGCAACAACGTCTCCTCCATCGACTTCATGTCCTCATCCACGATCGATTTAAGTCGAACCAGTGACTCCTCCTCCACAGCCTCGGAGCGTTTTAGGGCCGCTGAGAGGTTTTCTCGCAGCTTGTCCACTTCACCCTTCAGCAACTCGCTCAGGGCCTGAATCTCCGTCAGCTCTTGGTTAAGCGACTGCACGCACTCCGCGGCACGAGCCTTTACTTGGGCCTCAGACTCCCGCACGGCTATTAAATCTTCTCGCACAGAGGCCTCAAACTCGTCACGCTCACGCGCGTTAAGCCGACGCATTTTCTCCAACTCCTCCTGCATGAAGTCCACAGCGCATTGAAGTTCCCCCTGGCAATCCTGACGCATTCGCGCCAGCTTGTGTGACGCGGCCTCGTGCAGCTGACGAAGCGCCTGCCCATGCACACCATTTGCCTCCTCGCTCTCTTTCTCCGCCTTTGCCTCAGTAGTTGGTTGTTTTCCCTTCGGTGAGGAAGGTCGGGAGCGGATCCGTTGCTGCGGCACATTCACACCTCGCTTGGGAGAAACGTTCTCCGGGGCCTCGCACGGGGCAGGGTGAGAAATAAAGTGGCCATTCTCCCCCGGAACGAGCTCGGGGTCCTGTACGGAGGCAGTTCGGGAATGAGAATTTCCCACCGCAGCCGCCGGTGCCGCCGCGGTTGGCAACACTGCCGTTTCTAGTTGCTGACGAATACGACTGACCGGCACCCGACGCTTCCTCTCGGCAATCCATTCGTGAATCCCAGAGGATCGAATAGCACTGAAAGTCGACTGTGTCAACGAAATCATAAGCGTCTCAGTGGCACTCTCAAGGCTCATGAGATGGGAGAGTCTTGCAGGGATGACGTGCAGGCGAAGACCAAGCTTTCGCTCCTTTGAAAGCTTCACCGAGCGAATGTGTTCGTACGGAATAGTGATGTTATCCCCGGAGCACCCTGGAATCATAATCACGAGAATCAAGGGGGAAAAGTACATGCTTGTGTGGCCACACACCTCCTCGCCACCCGCCTCAATACGGAGGGCCGTAAACTGCAGCCGTTCAAAGCGGGCGTATTCCATGTTATAGGCGTCAAGCAAGGTCTGGACGCTCTTTAAGAGGTTGGCGTCGTTGGGAAGCTCCGCCACGCCCTTCTTTAGGAACTCAGGTAGCGTTGAAGTTGACAGCACCGTGCGATTGTGTGTGTAGAGCCGAAACAGCATCTCAACGCACTGCATTTGAAAAAAGATATCGTTCGACTTCGTCAAAGCCTCACCAATGCGGCCACATTCTACACTCATCCGATTCTTGTTTGCCTTGGACCCGCGGATGAGCGTGATGAGCACACTCGCGCAGGCACGGCACTGACGGTAGTCGTCTTCACTCTCCACAGCAACATGGAGAAAGGTCAAGAAACACGGCATCAGCACCACGCCGAGGGGATCCTTCAACGTCGCAGAGGCGCAGAGCTGCTGAACCAGCTCAAAGAATCCCTCCATATTCACCTTGCCACGGAAGGTGCGCTGCTCCGCCCGCAGCAGCGTGGCGCAGATGTCTGCCAAGAGGTCAATGCAGCGTCCTTCTTCAACAGGGACCAAAAGCGCCCGCGAGACCTCCTGGCACTCCAAAATCGCGGGTTGCAACAGAAGGTGAAGAAAGACGGAGAAGGGGGACACCAACGCGTACCGAACGGCGTAGAGAGACTTGCGAAGGATGGTCTCCAGCTCAGAAAGGACAAGCAAAACATCCTCGTCAGCAAGAATAGGAGGACATGACTGGACCTCATCCGTGGGCAAACGCAGCAGCGCCTCCACGGAGGCCATATAATCCGTTCGCTCTAACCGTTAACGCACCTTCGCTTCCCTCTTTCTTTTGTTGGCCGTGTTTGCCCTTGCGTCTCCTCGTCCCTCTCCCCCTTTTTCTCTCCACTGCTTCACTCCCAAGGTAATAGGCAAAGGAAGAAAAAAAAAGAATAAATAATAAAGACGCTGTGGCTAGAGAAGCCAAAAAAAAAAAAGACATCCTCTGTGGGCTAGCTGAGAGTGTTACCGTCGCAGAAGGGGCGTAGTGGGCCAACCTAGCTCTGTGCGTCTCACCTGACCCAGCGCATACACTTTTCACCCACACTTAAAGTATGAAGGAATACAAAAAGAAAAAAAAACACGAAATAACTCCTCCTGTTTTGGGCCTTTTGAGATTATAACTTCTACAAGTATATACTTCTGGTTATTTCCACAGTCTGTGGTCACACACCCAGGTACATACTCGTCGCTTGCAGCTACCATAGAAAACAGTGCTCCACCAGTTCCAGAACAATTGATGTTAGCGTGTACACAAGAAACACAAACACCATCGAGGGCAGAAGGTCAAAAAAAAGGTAAACCAGCAGCATTGCCCTGGATATTCTTCCTGGCGTTTTCAAATGAATAAGAAAAAGGCCTCGCAAATGAACCAAGCAACTAAACAACACAGGTGAGATGAATTGGCCGAGCATAGAGCTCGGGTCCACAACGTAACGATGAAGCAGCAAAATAATAATGGTCAAAAGCGTGATAAGGTAATAGGAAAATACACTAAACGAAGTCGGCAAGTAGGCCTCACTCCATATGGTCGCGGCACAGAACAAAAAGGAAGCTCCCCCAGTGATGGATGAAGCAGCGCCAGATCTTTCCTCACCCACACAATCCGCGTGCTTCGGTTTACCTATAACACTCGCCTCTGGCGACGCTGAAGAGGAAGCATAGTTGTGATGTTTTTCCTTTGCTGAAGGTGAAGCAGCGGAAAAAGTGAATGGTGTCCTGGAGGTCAACTTTGGTTCAGAAGTCTCTTGGCTCTTTACAGGATCCACGCTTAATCCGGTCCCGCCCTCAACACATCCCGCCCGTTCTTTTAAGCTTGGATAGTCTTGCTCAAGCCTCTGAAGCTCGGTAGTGAGTGTCTCATCCGTCTGACCAAGTTTTTCTAAAGACTGTGCCTGTCGCAGCAATGTTCGATAGCGACGTCTAGCTCGCAGCTGCAGAGGGTCGTCCATATTATTTTCTGCGAAAAGCTTTTGGGCACTAAGAGTCAAAAAAAAAAACAGTCATTCATTGACGCGCAAGCCCCTTGAACAGAGAGAAAAAAGGTTTTTTTTCCCCCCCTGCGCAGATGCATTTGGCTGTGACAATCTCCTGTCACCACTCCCAGATATGAAAGTTTAATTACGCTTAGCAAGGCCATAAAAAAAGGTCTCGTGTTAAAAGCGATTCGGTTTTTCTTTTCTGGTTATACTATGGGTGAATTTCGGTTTTAACATCCGTCGAAATCGCACATTATTGAAAAAGGAGAAGAATAAAAAGAAAAGAAAAAAAACATACCGCTACAATTATTTTGTGTCTTGCAGTATATTAGCAGAGCTTACTTTGATGGCCCAGTTATTCTGTCTGAGGAGACGGATCACTTCTGCCTGAAACCGCATACCGCACCATAGTTGCACCCTGCACCGCACTGTTCGTAGCATGGCAAAGGAACAAGGGATAGTTGGCCGGTGTCACGGCGATGGCCCATCGGAGAAAAACGCCGCTGTAGGCACACAGAACGGTCGTCATGACGGGGTCAATTTCACTGGGCTTTCGGGTCGGGAAATTCATAATGCCGGCAATTGGTATAAGCCAGTTCGCGGCGGCACCGACGTATCCAAGGTAACGGACGAATTTCACGGACACCATTTAACAACGCACGCTTCGAAGCTTTTAACCTTGACCTAGTAGTTCAAAGAAACGGAGGCAAACAAGGAGTATGCAAAGGAGGCAAAAAAAAAAGACGTGCGCATGTGTGTGTGTGTGTGTTCATGAGACACGGGGGAAATAAAGAAGCGTCTCAGACACTAATTTTTTTTGATAAATGTTTTGGGGCAGGGTTAGAAGCTGAATTTGCCCTCACTACACCACTTAATACAGCCGCCCATTTTTTTTTTGGTGGGGGGTCGCGAGGAAAAAGAATCACTGCCTTTTCTTTAGCAATGTCGAATTCAAAGACCTCAAAAGCATGTCTATATCCTCCACCATATGTGGTGGATAAAAGAAGCCATCCTTGCTAAAATACCTCCCATATGGAACCTCTCTGGGGACTGAATAGTAAACTGATGAAGCCGCAAACAGACGGGAGGGTCCTACCAATTGGGTCTCAATCTTTACCTTCGCCGAGTTAGGTACCTCATTGACACGAACACAGAGTCGGCGCCCCCTCAAGGCACGTAGATAATCCTTCCGGCGTGTGTCACTCCCGCAAACGGAAGATCCAACAACTGTAAACAGCACACAATCCGGATCTTGTAAAAATCCACAGACACAGGCAAATAAACACAAAAGGCCAGAAATTCCCATCAGCGCGTATGTTATCCGAGGGTATGACTTAAAAAACTCTCTCCCAAACATTAATAAAGAGGTAATCAAAATAGCCACAAGAATAGATATGAGTACCAATATCATCTTCATTTTGTGCCTGGCGGTTGCCTCAAATTCGCCCAAGTGGAGCAAGTAGTCGTGTATATTATTGAGTATTGCGTTTTTTACCGTCCTGAGATCGCTTACAGGATCGTACTTGCGCACCGACTCGCTGTATAAATCATAGCCGTAAACATACTTTTTATTGACTTGCTTATTAACCTGATCGATGGACGCCTCATTCATTTTGAGTAGCTGCCAATACGAAACAGAAAAAGAAAGAAACTATTTGGCTGGTGCAAAGAAAGAAAATGATGATCATAATAGCAACATATAATAACCTGAGCAAATAATAAAACAAAAGCATAAGAAAAAATCTATATATATATATATATATATTCTTGTATATGTTAAGCACATATACAGCCTCTAGTTTGTCATAGTCGATCTCAAATCGACCTTTCGGATATGAATGGTGTGTGGTTCATTGGGAATACAACCAGTTTTACCCATTGCCCAATCATAGCTCCGAGCAAAGGCAAGCAAACTACCATCAGAGCTAATGTCCCCTGCAGAAATGGACTTATTACGTCTTTCCAATCGTAGGTCAACTTCTTCACGCCCAGCAGAAGCCCGTTTCTTGTAGTTCCAATAGCCAATTCGACCATCACCACCGCCACTAATAATAACAGGTGTTCGAGGACACATGACGCAGAAATTAGTTTGATGCATATATAGAGTGTTGTCCTCCACCAATATATGAGCCTTAAACGTACAACCTGCTTCACCTTGAAAAGGGATATATGCAATTCTACCCTCCGAACTTCCAATTGCAACACCGTCTTGTTGGAGAGAACATGCAACACACCTCAGATTGAACTTCATCATGGAAGGTGGTTCAAACTCATTTGTCTTCATCAGTGTTTGAAGATTAAATACATGAACTTTTCTACCCGTCACACAGGCGGCCAAGGGAAAAGTTCGCTGTGCATCTAAGGCAAACACAGGTTCACCTAAATTTTCCTCCTTTACAGGTGCTGGTTGTCTCAAATCCCAAAACCGCAATCTTCCATCCCAACTACCAGTAATTAACATTTCCGCACCAGTATTCGACCTGACATGAGCTACACAGCTTACAGGAAGATCGTGAGATCCAACAGTTATTTTCTGGTCGGTTGTTAAATTCCACATTACTACCGCTTTACTACATCCAGCCCAGAAAACCCTACCATCAGCTGAAAAAGACATATCCAAAATTGGTGAGTCGCTCATGGCAAGCGTCATTGGTTGAGATCTTATATTCGCCCCATCCGATTGCTGACTCAGCTGCCATATACGACAACTTTTGTCCCATGATGTCACGCCAAGAAGAAGATAAGGACATCCAGAAGGCGAAAAGCGTACGGCACTCACGCAGTCGCCTGGAGGACCCTCTACATCATGCACAGCACTACGAGGTGGAAAATAATTAAATGTGTTCATAGTACTAACCCTTTCACTGACAGTTAAAATTGGTATTTTTTTTGTTTTGAAAAAAAAATAATAAAGTAAAATGAAAAAAGAAATAAGTAGAAATAAAACCTGTGGCAAAAGAAAAAAGATTCTAGTTATATAACAGCAAAAATCTAAGAAGAATATTAAGCGTCTCGAAAACAAACCTACATATATGAACTCATATAAGTGAGATAAAGCACATAGGAAAGAACAATAACCAATATATTTCCTCTCCGCGTCTTCCATTTTTCTCATCACATTTTTTTTAATTTCCTCAAATCAATCCTCCTTTGTGTATTAAAAAAACGAAGAAGATTAATTTTTCTTAAAGTAAGCTAACCAGCTCATCAATAAGAAGCATTTTCAAGAAAGGACAAAGAAATCTTCTGAATTGCAGCCATTTTGTACCCAAATAGACCGCTCTTCCTCCAATGACATGGCGTCACATTGATGATCCCAATAATCATCAGGTATATTTTCTGAGAAAAATGATTTCAACAGCTCGGACACTTCTACTCGCGCATGTTCCAGCTGCTCCGGATCATTAGGCGAATATTTCATAAGCTCCAGAGGCGGTCGCTCTGGAAATGCGCGTGTCGCAAAGCCAAAAAGCCTTTTAAGTACGCAATTTGGGTGGTCATGATTAATGGCAGTGTACGTACTAACAACAAAATTGTCATCACCGCGAAGAAGTGAAAGCCAGCAGTTGTTGAGGTAGCGAGTAAGAAATACAACGAGTTGGTCTTTATACAACTCAGGGTCCACAATGCCCATACGAAAAAGGGCCATAATAGTGCCACAGCACGCTTGAGTCAGAAAATTCACTGTACTTTCCTTACTTGTTGACATTTTATCCCATAATCTTCAGAAAAGGTAAAAAAAAAAGAAGAAGAAGCTAAGACAAAAAAAAAACATACAGACAGCAAGTTCATCTCAAAGAAAATTTGTTAACAACAACAAATTCCATTATACTATATTTGAACACAATAAAAAATATATATTACATGATTTTTGAACACCACATTAGTCTGTTAACCCAGAAAAGGTAATGACTTGATTCCACTCGGAAAAAGGAAGGTTGTATATTGATCCTTTATACATATATATATATGTCATAAAATCAAGGGTAGAAAGAGCCAAAGTGGGAAACGCATGGAGAAAAAGAAAAAATGCATAACGCAAAATAAAGCATGTGCCACAGCATACGCGCGCGGCTGAAACCTAGTGAGCTTTGGAAAGCGAAATGCTATCCAAATGAAAGGGTATATATATATACAAGTACATCGGTAAGTGAATCGTCGTTAGAAAGCGAAATATGGCGGTATTACCCTTATAAGCAAAGGTATACTTCAATACATTCATCTTACGATGCTAAAGCTGATAAATTCACTTTGGCACAGCACAAAGCCTGAATACATTCCCAGAAAAATAAACAAAAAAAAGCTTTTCCGAATATTAGAGAAATACACTTCCCTATTTCCTCAGAAGAGACAAACTGCAATGCAACACAACCAGAATAAAAAAAAGGAAGCAAAAAAAAGAAAGATACAGACGCAAACGCAGACCTCGACCCCCACTTCAAATCCAATGAAAAAGCCTATTCCTTAGGAAAAAAGCCAGACGCCCCCTCCACCCCGCATGAAGGCGCCCAATTCAGTCGCGACAACCCTCCGGGCCCAAAAACGCCGACGAGGGACCACCACCGCCGGTAAGGCCGCGCTCGCGCCGCGACGCCGCTCGCCAAGACGGGAAGAAGAAAAAAAAAGAAGAAAAGTCGCACGAAAAAAAAAGAGGGTGCGCCGCCCCGCCGGCCGTCCTCCTCCGCCGGGGTGGGCGCGGACCGCCCCGCCGTTTCCTTTTTTTTTTTTTCGCACTCCACTGGTGATCTCCCGTGGCGTGTCGATCGCCCCGCGCGGGGGTCCTGGTAATTCTGTGTCGCTTCTCCGCCGGCGGGTGGTTTTTATTTGTTTTTTTTTATTTCGTCTTTGTTTCATGCGGTTGCTCTGTTTGTTGTTCACTGTCCTTTGATTGCAATTCTTCTTTTCTGGAGGAAGGAAGGCGATTATATAGGCGAAGGATGTCTGCCGTGGTCAACAATTTTTTGAAACGCGGCGCTGAGCTATGTGCTGCCCGAAAGCCATTTACTCTCGTCCTGGGAAATGAAGCGGGTGACATGGATAGCATCATTGGTTCAATTTTCTTGGCGTTATATCTGGAAACCCATTCTGATTTGGGAAAAGGAAATTATGTTCCTGCATTGAACTTTGAAAAGGAGGATCTTCCATTGCGCGGAGATGTTATAAATTTGTTTTCAAAGCATGAAATATCAACAGAATGGTTGCTGTCTGTTAAAGGAACACCGGGCATGGGAAACTTTTTGGATCTACAGACAATCCAAGGGGATGTTGTTTTGTACGATCATAATAAACTCGTACCTGAACAGAGTTTTTTGGAGAAAAATGTGGTTGGTGTCATAGACCATCATTTTGACGAGAAACTATATTTGGATCGATCCAGTCACTTTCGGCGAATAGAAACGGTGGGTTCAGCTTGCACTATTGTCGCAGAGCTTTTTCGAGCGGCGGAGTTGACAATTCCATGCCCGCAGCTTCTTTTGGCTGCCATTGTACTGGACACTGTGAACTTCAATCCTGAGCAAAAAAAAGTCACGGAAAAGGATGTTGTTCTATCCCAATGGCTTCTACAACAAATTGCTGAACCCATTAACCTCACAAAGATGTTTTCGGAGCTAGCAGCATGGAAGCATGATATACTTGGCCTTAACTTTTCTCAGCATTTTCGCCGAGACTACAAGAAGTTTGAGTGTTCATTTACGAGATATTCAAATAAGTCCCTGCAACTAGGAATTAGCAGCATTTCATGCCGATTTGATCAGTTGCTTGGCTCATTGGGAATGCCGGAACTCGCTTCCAACTGCCTTGAATTTTTGGCATCAAAAAACGTGGATGCGTTGCTCTTGGCTTTTGCCGGTGAAAGGGGGTCTGGAAATTATTGTCGACAGTTGTCATTTATCGCAAAGGGGATCGTTCTTGAAGCACTAAAGGAATTTGCGAAAAGTTCGCCCGCGGGGATTATTTTTACCCTTATAGACAGCACGCAGCAGAATGAATGGGAATTAATCTGTTATGAATTGAGTGATCCTTCGGTTTCCCGCAAGCGTCTTGCACCGGCACTGTTGATGTTTCTTGCCTCTTGGCAGAAGCTGTAAAACGTTTCCACATAAAAGGTAAAGCAGCACACACAAAAAAAAACAGTGGGGGAGAGGGGAGAGTTGCAAAAAGCTTTAATAAGACCCATTTGAAACTCCTGTAAGTCGAGTTTCTTGACTGATAACTGTTATCCGATATTCTGGCTAGCGTGAGGTGTTGCTTGCCTTTTGAGGTTGTTACCTTGCCTTGTCTTACATGCGCTTCCATTTAACTACTCAATTACTCCTTTTACATAGTCAGAGGAACCGTGTAATGAGCACCTTTCTTTCACCTGAAAGCCTGGACATTCTGGTTTCTGATCCGAAGTGGCAGAATGGACATATAGAGTACAAAATATGCATAAGGAAAGTTACGGATACAGATGGATTCATTAGTGCCACCTATCGTCGATTTAGTGAGATTTATTTAGTCTTTAAAAGACTTCTGCAGTTGGATCCTGATGCCCATTTGCCAAATTTGCCTCAAAAAAAGATGATTGGAGCCACAGATCCAGTTTTTGTAGAAAGACGTCGAAGGGAACTGGAAACATTTTTCAAAGCGGTGTGTAAAAACAAGCTTTTGGTAGGTGATATTGCATTGCTTTCTCTAGTAGGGTTTTCGGATGCAAAAGCGGCGCTAGCTCAAAGGAGTGAAAAAGAAACTGTGGTAACCAGTGACAGTGTCGGATGTATATTGACGTGGATATTGGGTGATTTACCCACGTTAGATACAGAAAATAGTATTCTGGCCACGCGTCAGTTTCTCCGCTCGACAAAGTACACACTGAGTTGCATCTTGCCTCCACTCTCGTTTGGGCCCCCAAGACGTTTTTATGCATTAGTAAAAGATGGCAAAGATCCGTATCTCTTAAGCGTGATTCCCCTTCATCCCGAACGAGGTTTGCATTTAAACAATAATAAGCTTGCTGCCCGACTTTGTGGCTTCCTTTTACGCCCTCTATTACCCTCTGTGTTTACACCAGTTGAGGCTCATGCCGATGGGATTCGTGCTTACCTAATACGCAAGGTTGTCAAGGGTGGTTCCATCCGTGACCGTGCTTATAATGCTGATTGGAGTACTGAGTCTGGACAAAAATTCAGAGGAAAGGGTAAAGCTTTTTCGGTTGGTTACATTGCACGTGTTGTAGAAGCAGCACTATTAATGGTGAAAGCTTTTCACTCCTCTCAGATGTCGTGTCCTTTTTTAAGTTTGGGTAAATGCTTTGATGATTCAAATCAAATATTGTTTTCGGGAGTGGAGGATATTTTTTTGGGCATTACGCGATATCCGGCTGTTTTGCCTCCGACCGAACATACACATGTAGATGTTTTACTTGTAGGAGCTCTGGCCTTGGAGATGGCTTTGGGGAGTCCCCTTGCGAAACAGAAAGAGTTGGGATTAATTACGGCGTATAACGACCCCACAGAGGCCCTTGAAACGGACAGGAAGTCTCGTCTAAAACTTGTCAATGAATTGTTGGAAACTCTTCCTTCATCTGTTCCTCAGGAGCTGGTCTCGTTTTTAAAAGCAACATTTGATCCTACCTGCAGAGTTGAAACTGACGTACTACTTCAGCACCCTTTTATTACCCAGAGGCGCGCCAGAACACTTTGGATGCGGCTTGGGAAAACCAAGGGGACGCCTTCATCAGTTCAGCTCAAACGCAAGGAAGTAGATATGTTTTGTGAAGTTGCCGGTAAATGGCATAATGCGGTAAAAATGGCCAGTATTCGTTTTAGTTATGAGAAACAAAGTCGTTTCCTTCTTCGAGAAATACGAAGGAAGAAAAGTAATGGGTACCACTCTTCAGCATCTGGGTCCTATGCTTCAGATGACAATACTCCTCGACGAACTGTTACCTCTGAGGAGGTTGCTGTAGAGAAAGGGGAGGCAATGGAAGCCCGGAAGACGGCGTTGCAGCCTCCGCCTGGTATTCCTGCTCCTTCAGCTGGGGTGACGCGACCATCCGAAGGGCCTCAGCGTTCGGCTTTAAGGGCGCACCTACCTCCCCTGCCACCTCCTCCTGTTCCGTTGCCACCACCACCACCACCAAAGCGCGTGGATTTTGTCTCCTGATAGTTTTTTTTCCCCCATCTTGTTAATGGATGCGAAGAGGGTTGAGTGAAAAAAAAAATTAACGCCTTCCGGGGTGAGTTGATGTGTTGTCGCGTTTGGCTCTCTGATGATTGGGCACGAAAGACACAGAAACTACAAAAACAACCTCAAACAGAAGTTGTGATTTTTTTTTCATTTTTCTTTTTGCCTCTAGAGTTGCAATCTCGACTAGTTGTGTCCAGAACTAGGTTGGAAGAGCCCGTGAAAAATGGCACGCGGCAATCAGCGGGACCTTGCCCGTGAAAAAAATCAAAAAAAGCAACAAGAGAAGGAGAAAGGGCGCCGCTCCGATGGGATGTCCGTCATCCAACGAAAGGAAGCTGATGCAGAGCGCATGCGCAAAAAACAGCAGGAGGCGGAGACGAAGAGAGCTGGTGGCTCATGATGTATTTGCGCACCGCTTGTAGTGTTTTTTTTTCTTCCACCTCCAAAGCCAAGCTGACGGAAAGGATAAAAAAAAAAGGAATGGGCTCCAAGAAAAAAAAAATTTTTTTTGATTATTCAGAGGGTGAAGGACAGTACTTGTTTTCTGCGTAATTTAAATCGGGGAGGGAGAGACCGTTCCCAGTGGCTTATTGTTATTGTTGTTTTGCTTATGTAGGCAGTAAACAAAATGAACTGCATTTTTCTTCTTTAAATTAACTTTTTTTTCTCTCTTCCATGAGTTTCTAATTCTCAAGGGTTCTTTCGACTTTGTCTCCCTCTCTTTCTCTGTGTGCGTGTGTGTGTAGTAGCAGTGAGTGTTAGTGTGGTAAGGGGACAAAAGCAAAAGAGGAAAACGACAAAGACAACAACAACAACAACGGGAGATGTCATTTTACGACAAGTCTAGTTCTGTAGGTTATGATGAGCGCGATAAGGAGTTGAATGACGAATTGGAGGCCATGCTAGCGCGCACCCCACCCCAGATTCAGCGGCATCTGCAACACCGCATTCACGACGGCATCCTACAACGCATGAAGGAGGAAACGACAAGGAAGTGCTGGGTATTTGTTAAAAAGTATGAAGAGTGTGTGAATTCGGTTCAACCGTATAAGATAAAGGACTGTATTCCTCACCGGGATGCTCTAAATGATTGCGCCCACGAGATCAACCGTGAGGAGAATTATCAGAAATATCGCATCTTGTATCTGCATGGTGAACTTCTTAAACTTCATGAACACCGTCTAGGTGAAAAGATGGAAGCATTGAAATCCCGTGTTCCTGATTCAATTAGGACTTGGAAGCCCGATTATGCTCCAAAATACGCCGATATGATGTCAGACGTGGGTGTAAAACCTTCCGTGGGGACCGAGAAGGATGTAGATGATGTTTGAAGCAATGATGCTTTGGCCGGCTGTTCAAGGATGCATCAACATATTTGTTTACCAAAGCGATTTATGAATCTCTCTCTCTCTTGAATGCAAGCATTTGAGTTAGATGCATAAATACTTTTCATTTCCCTCTGCTTTCCCTTTTTCCTTACCTCACTCCTCTTCCTCATTGCTGCTAATTGATTCGTCATGTTGCAGCATAATAGATCTCTACATGTTACGTGTTGCTGCTCGATGCCTTCTCTGGAGGCCTGCCGCCATTCAGCACCTGCCCGACTTTGGCTCCAAGGAGGCTCCCAGAAAATTAGAAGATACCCAACGACAATACCGCCCTCTCTCCCTTAAGGCCCGTCAGGCGCTGGCGGAGAAATCGGATGAAGTGCAGTATCATGTGATTACCCAGGTATTGGGTTTGGGCAGCGCGTCGATACTTTTCTTACCAGCACCATCCTGAATGGAGTTATGAAACC